CTCCTGAATACTCACTGCTGTGTCCTGCTCAGTTTCAGCGGCTCAGGGGTGTTCCTGAGTCTGCTGTGGCAATGCACCCTGCTGGCAAGGAAGGCCAGCAGCATCCTGGGCTGCAGTAGGAAGAGTGTTGCCAGCAGGACAAGGGACCTGATCCTTCCTCTCTACTCAGCGCTGGTGAAGCCACGTCTGGAGTGCTGGCTCCAGTTCTGGGCTCCCCAGTACAAGAAAGATTTCAGAACGAGCCCAGCAAAATGGTGCAAGGACTGGAGCATCTTTCCTATGAGGATCAGCTGAGAGGGCTGGCAGTGTTCAGTCTGGGGAAGAGAAGGCTCTTTGGAGACCTTGGCAATGTGTTTAAATAGCTGATGGGAGGGAATGAAGAAGGGAGTCTTCTCAGTAGTGCCCACTGACAGGAGAAGAGGCAGCGGGCACCAGTTTAAAAACCCAACCAAACATGGTCCTGTGCAACCTGCTCTACCTGACCCAGCTTGAGCAGGGACTGCATGATCTCAAAAGGTGCCTTCCAGCTTAACCAATTGTGTGATTCATTGAAGTATGCTCAGATTTTCTCCCTGCTGCACAGGCTGGGGAGGCAGAGACCCAGCCTCACCACAGCGCCAGTGTGTGGTTCCTGGGCAGGATGAGCTTACAGCTACACGCAAGGAGTGGTGGGGAGGGAGTCGCTTCCCAGGTTACACCCTCCCCTTCTTGCGCACTTGCTGCACACTGAGGGCATGGATGTGGGCTCAGCACACAGAGATAGAGAGGGTTGTCCTGGAGCTCGGCATCCTGCACACGGAGAAACACCTGGGAGGCCTCTGCAGACACAATGGAGGAGAACCTCCCTGAATCCACACGAGCTTTGTACTTGCTCCCCCACAGCAGCATCTGAGGGGACTGGTTTGGGAGTTGCTGGTACCAGTAGACATAGGGACTGGAGCTGCTGGTGGAGAAATTGCAGTGCAGCGTTGTGTTGTGGCCTGCCTGGATGGTCCTTTCTGGAGGGAACTGGAGCACAGAGTCCTTCTGCGCATGACCTGTAAAGCCAGAAAGGAATTTCAACACTCCTTGCATTCACCCAGCCTTCCCCTAACGATTTTGGCCATTCTTACACAGGCTGACAGCATTTTGTCAAATATGCCTGGGAGAGAAGTTTCCATTTCTGGTGTTGGACTCTACCCTAGCAGCTCTCTCTTTCTCTAAACACCTGTGCAAAAATAACCCATAGAAAGGTACCTGTGAACACTAAAAGGGATGCGCAGAGTCTTCTTCCTCCTTCCATCTCCCAGATGATTTTCCATTCCCACCTGCAGTCCCTGCTCTCCCTACGGAATCACTCCCAG